ACAGGACAAAATGTTATAATTTCCAGGCAATACAAACTTTTATGTTTTCTGAACTATGAGGAAGATATTGTTAAATTTCAGAAGAATGAACAAATGGTAGATAAATGGTGTGATGTGAATTATTTTAGTAGGAAGAGTGAGGACAGCCAGTAAAGAATTACGGATAAAAATTTAAAGGCTATGTGGGAGTAGCAGAACTGAAAGTATATTTCCACAAATTACTGAATGTTGCAGTACAAACTGAGACAGCAATTAACATAGGATTCTGTAGAGTACGAAAACAAAGACATTATCATAAACTTGTGTAAGACACTGGTTGGGCCTCAACTGGAGCATTGTTTGGTTCTGAAAATAACACTTCAGAGGAATGCAGAGAAGATTCAAAAGAATGGCTACAGAAATGATAAATTTCAGCTTCATGGACGAATTGGACAAGTAGGGCCTGTACTCCTACAGAAGAAATGATTGAGAGAGTTTTAATAGAAATATTGAAAATCATGACAAGAGTGCACAGAACAGATAAGGAGAAACTGTTCCCATTTTTGGAAGGATCAAAACCTATAGAACATTAATTAGAGTGATTTGTTTTTGTTTGCTCACAGGTTATGGGCATCTCTAGAGAGGTCAGCATGAAGTTCCCTTACCGGAATGCCCTTGAGTAGGTAATAATGAACTGCCTTCGTTAACCAATGCAATTCATGCGGTTAGGTACACCCTCGGTGCTGTTAGGAAAGGAGTTCTATCCAGTGACAGTGAAGGACAGTAGGATTGTGCATGGTTTGGACAGTAACTTGTATAGAATAGTGATCTATGGCTCTCAGGCTATTGCTTGACTGGTTGTGGGACAGCTCTCCCAAGTTTGACATAAGCAAGCAAACGTCAATCATGAGGTCTTTGCAGGGCTAACAGATCTGGACTTCCTGTTTTCATGCCTGATTAGATTAATCCCCTTTCTTTTTTGGATTTTGTAGCAGCTTCGTACAATTGAATGGCTTGCTGGCTATTTCCAGAGCACATTTTAAGAATCCCCCATGTTGCTGTAGGTCTGGAGTCACCTGTAATTCAGGCAAGTTCAGGACCGCAGACAACCATCCCAAAAGGACATTTGTGAACTTGATTTATTTCATGAAAATCAACAATAATTTAAAAGGTCTCTAGTACAGATTAGCTTCTTCATGCCATATTTATTAATTGAATTTAAAATTGACCAGTTGTCTTGGAGGATTTGAACCCATATTCCCAGAGCAGGCATCTAACCCAATGATGCTGCGACTAGACTGCCCTTTCCCCCAATTTTTGATTGGATAAAGAAATAACATAACATGAGGAAACTTCTTTTAAAACATAGGGAGTGATCAGTATCTGGAATGCACTGCCTAAGAGTATAGTGATAGCAGATTTGACATTGAAAAACAAAGAATAGTACAATTGCTGGAAGAGAAAAAAAACATGGCTATCAATAAAAGGCAAGGCAATGGGAATAAGTGAGCTTTTCTTGCAGACAGCAACCACAGACATGGCAGCTAAATGGTGTCCTTCTGTTCTGTAACTATTCCATGATTCTGCAATTTTATGATTTTGACAGAGTTTCTGGAAATATAGGCTTTTCAATTTGCTTTCAAATGTTCTCTGATTGGTCCATGTTATTTTTATATGTTTCACACAAATACTCCAGGGAATATATTCTGAGTGTTCACATAGTCAAAATTCTGTAAGTATACTTAGCATTCATCTCATCCAACACAGATGAAATTACAATAGTAAGTACAAGATCAGTGCATTAAGTTAAAAGATGTATTGTTAAGCAATATCGCATATCAGCATTTAGGACAACAGATTTGAGTTGGGCACTATAAAGGACAAATTATCACTAGACACATTGAACAAGGTTTTGATTTGTCAAGAACATTACCTTGGATATTTCTGATCATTATAATGAGTGATGCTAAACAGTATGTTTTGCAAAATATTTTGGAATAACACTCAAATTGCTTCATATAGTAGAAATGAATAGTGACTAGTTGTTTTCAGATATATTGTGATTGCCTTGTTTTAAGGTTTCACATACATAACTGTAATGGAAATTAAAGAAGATTTTGTATGCAAAGGTTACAACAAGAATAATGCGACACTTTCAAGTTAGTACCACAAGGCATATTTTAACAGGCATGAGTTTTGAACACCATAAATTACCATATCAGCAGCAGAGACTGGAGAAGAACCAGGTACACCCTAAGGCCTGAGAGCAAACTAGATAATAAACAGACACCTGTAGACAGGATAAGAGAAATACATGGAATGGAAGATTACTGTTTATTCTACAATAATGAAATGTAAACAATGCATATTTATAAAGGTTAATGATTTTCCGCATGTTTTGGAGAGCTGTCAGACCAAGATATGACAGATATGGGAAATAGATATGGTAGACAGTGCAAACAGAGCCGAAACAGAGTTAGGCAAAGCCAGGACAAAGTGATAGACAGAATTTTCTTTGAATAAACATGAAGTTAACCTCCATCCTTCACTCCTCCTGTGGTTTGTGTAAGGAGTATAACTACAACATTTGCCGTAGTGATCAGATCCTTCGGTTGGCCCTGAAAAGGGGTGTGTGTATTTAATTTACTACTCCCAGTTAGTGCAGTAATCCAATCCCTGAGAACAGCCTGGTCAAGTATCAAAAGAACCTGAAGGGAGAACTCAGCAGGGCTGTTATCTGTGACCAGATAGTAGCTGAAGCCATGCTGCCTGTTAGTAAAAATGTTGCTGAACTGTGAGATGTTGTTGTGGTCAATTACCCCCAGCAGATGAGAAGCAGAATGATCCACAGAAGTTGAGGATTAATTTGTTTTGAATTTGAAAAGCAGCAGTCTTTGATCAAAGTTACCATGGCACTAATATTTTAAAATGTAACTGACAGGTAGTTTAAAGGAAAAGTTAGGGCCATAAAATCATACAGCACAGAAGAGGCACTTTGGTCCATTGAGTCTATGCTGACTTATCTATATAAATCACACTTATCAGTACTTTTCCCATAACCTCAAATATTACAGCGCTTCAAGTGCTCATCCACATTGTTTTTAAAGGTTGTGAGGTTTCCTGCCTCTACCACCCTCCCGGGGAGTATATTCCAGATTCCCACCGGTCATCGGTAGTGGAAGTTGTACTGGAAATTGTAGAAACATGCAATGGTAATTATGAGCGTGTCCTTGATAAGCTTTCAAAAGAGTTTATGAGAGGAACAACTGAGTTAGAAACAGTCTGGATTAAGTTTGCCTATGATGCCTACTTGCGTGCTTTATAGCTGGATAAAGAAAATAAAAAGCTGCAGAAACTGGCAAAAGAGCTGCAGGGTAAAAACAATTACTAGCAGGAAAGTAATGTCATCAATGTCATGTGTAATGCAAGAAAAAAGCTGCAGGTAGACCCAGCATTGCAACTAGACAAACTGGATATAGGCCATGAAACAAACATTTTCCCGAAGTTAGTTAAAACCAAAAAATTAGTTGGAACTGCTATCTCACAAGACTAGGCAGATAACATTAGGAACATAGTTGAGAATACTTCTTCCACTGTTCCATTTCTATGTTTTGAGAACAGTTGATGTGTAATGTCACCTAGGAACCAAGAGGGGTGGACAAAGGGGTAGGACTCATGCACAATTAAGGAAGAGATCACGTTCCTCTCCTCCAGTGGAGTTAAAAAAGCACCCTATGAAAATCAGACTGGCAACTCACTGAATACAATGTTACAATTACAGCATCCCTTACAGTTGACTGAAATCAGTATTAAAACAAAGGGTAATCCAAAACTATCACCAATTCAAATACTAATTCAATAAAAGAGAATTTATCTCTGAACTGTATGAACTTACATTTAAACAGGGATCATTTTAAGCGCATTAAGAAAAGGTCATTGTCCTGTCCCTTCTCAAACCAGCACAGGGTTAGTTCCCTCATCTGACAGCATTTTTAAAAATTTTACCAATTGCATTCCATATTGCTAATTCTGTGATTTTGGATAAGACTAAATTTTGAAATCCTAAATTTACAGGTATGTTTATTCATTGTCTAATGAGCTTCTTCAGGAGCCACAGTGGATATTATTTGTGTTTTGAAACAGGTTTCAAGAACACAGTGAGCTTTATTATGTTATCTATACAACACTATACAGCACAGGAACAGGCCCTTTAGCCCATTAAGCCTCTGCCGATTCTTATTCCTTACTTAGACGCACTGCTTATTGCCAATATGTGGTTTTTATCCCTCGGTTTGTCTCCATTTCATATGTCTATCAATATAGGCCTTAAACATTGCTAAGATGCCTGTTTCGACCACCTCTACTGGCAGTATGTTCCAGGCACTCACTACCTTCTGTGTGAAAGGTTTTCCCTGCAATTCTCCCCTAAACTTTCCCCCTCTCACTTTGAACCTGTGTTCTCTTGCAGTTGACCTTTCTGCCTTGGGAAAAAGCCTCTGACTATCCACCCTATCTATGCCTCTCATAATTTTGTAGATCTCTATCAGGTTGCCCCTCAGCCTCCGTCTTCCCAGTGAAAACAATCCCAAGTTTATCCAACTTTCCTCATAACAAAAACCCTCCAGAGCAAGCAACATCCTATAATCAAGAAATGACATATCTAAACATGTATGTTAGGAAAAATATAGAGTATCAGACTGAGATCGAACAGACATGGGACAGATGTTGAACCAAGATTGGATAAACATGCAACAGAGACGTTGAACAGAGAAGGAACAGAACTAGGCAAAGCCAAAACAGGATATTAGACAGAATTCTGCTTCGCCAGTCTAAGATTGTTTAAAGAAACACAAATTCTTGAGTCCTCCTACGGTTTGTCTAGGGAGACCATAACATTAACTAAATAAAAACTTCACTCATGGTATTAGTTTCCCTTTAAACAATTCAAATACTTCCCGTACATTTCTGAGGTTGAATGTGAAGGCTTTAATTTGAAAAACTAATGTATTAAGAAGCATTACCCTTCTCTCATCAGTTGCATAGTGTGCCGAATACCACATATTACGTCGCATATTGGCAGTAACAGATGAATCACTTTCAAATGGCTCTTTTTGCTCTTCTTCTTCTCTGTTGTAACTTTCTTCTTCCATATTCTGTAAAGGTAAAATGAAATATAATTTTGAAGATTACATCGATATATATTTAGAAGATGTACAGTGCATGTAGTGTAAGGAATACTCATGTAATTACAAGAGGTACAGACAATGAAGATAATTTAAATGAACAAATATGTAGTTGAGGTGGTTAGATTTAGAGTAGCTTGGAAGACTGGATCTATAATTTAAGGCATTATATGTAGCCCATTTTATGCCATAAATATGTTGTCCAGTTTTCTACTATTTATATATACTTCCAGCATGTTTTGTATTTTGTGCTGGGAGTGCGACGGTGATGGGGTGAGAACAAATTTCCTGAGCAGAACTTTTAAAGGTACAAATCCAGCTTATACCTATATATACCTTATATAATATATCCACTTTCTGCCCTTGGATAAATATACCTATTGTCTCATGTCGCATTTCTTGAGCAAAGGTCAATCAAAATCAATCAACTTAATCATTTTGATCCTTGTAAACTACTGGTTAGGCTGCATGAGATTTGGTTTAAATAAAAACCGAAAGAACTGTGGGTGCTATAAATCAGGAACAAAAACAGAAGTTGCTGCAAAAGCTCAGCAGGACTGGCAGCATCTGTGAAGAAAAGAATCAGAGTTAATGTTTCGGGTCCAAAGGGTCACTGGATCCAAAATGTTAACTCTGATTCTTTTCTTTGTAGATGCTGCCAGACTTGCTGAGCTTTTCCAGCAACTTCTATTGTTGATGAGATTTGGTTTTCCTGGGTGGCCATGAATTCACTCAGTCTACTTTGAGTTCAGAAGAAGAATCATTTTTGAACCTGAAACATCAACTCTTTTTCCAATGATGCTACAAGATCTGCTGAGTTTTTCTGGCATTTTTTTTATATGAGAGTTGGTTTTCTTGGTTGGCACAGGAGTCAACAATCTCAGGTCAAAACAGTACAAGGAGCTTCAGACAACTGTCAGACTCTTATGTTGACCTGCAAAGATTCCAAAACCTATACTGAGGAAGAAAATGTAGAGGAAAAGATCACAGAAGATATCTTCTCACTCTCATGCACCAAGTAGGGAAACAAGAACATGTTAACGAAGACATTGAACCAGGTGATTCACAAAGCACGAGCAAGCCAAGAGAATGAATAATGTTTGGCAATGTTCTTCCTGGAAGCTGAAAAGAAGGCTGTCTATATCTTTGAACTCTCAGCATCAGAACCTGAGTGTTCATCCGAATAGAAGAAATTTGAGGACCATTATACTTACCTGCAGAATAAATTCAATTGCCTAGGAACTGATCTGCAGTCTACTGCACACATTTATAGAAATATTAAACCATAAGAACCAAAGAAACAGGAACAGCAGTAGGCCATTCAGCCCCTCGAGCTTTCTCTGTCATTCAACAGGATCACGGTTGATTCAACATTCCTCACATCTACGTTGAACCATTTTCTCTGTAACCCTTGATTCCCCTACCAATCTAGAATCTATCTCAACCTTAAATGTACACAAGAAGTCTGCCTCCATAACGCTCTGTGGCAAGGCGTTTCAAAGACTCAACCACCCGAGAGAAGAAATTCCCTCAAGATTTTCTTAATTACAGGCATAAATAGAAACTATGGCATCTTTCCTGGAAACTGTGACAGTCCCTCCGTTCAGAAGCTGTCCAGAAGCAGTTTTATCCCCTTCTCTAAGGGGTACAAACTTGAGTTATAGGCAGATTAGGAGGTGTTCTGACAAAGGGTCACTGAACTCAAAATGCTAACTCTGATTTCTCTATACAGATGATGCCAGAGCTGCTGAGATTTTCCAGTAATTTCTTTTTTCATTAGAGATTTGACAACACCTCACATAACAGTTTTAAACAGTGGGGATTACTAGGTTGTTGTCACTCAAGGGTTTCTGACAGTTATTGTTATGTCACTGATTAATGGAGATATAGAGATGCAGGATCCAGTGGAACGGCAATGACTGAAAGCAAGTTGTCTGAACTGTATTTTCTCAGAACAGCAGTACTTGCCAAGATCACTACAAATGTACGAGCCAGCACTAGGCTGCCCAAACACAAATTCCAAAAGTGCAACATGCAGCTCTTCTCGCTCAGATTCAAGCTACCATGAGAGAAGGGAGATCTTAGTGTCATTGCTATTTGTGCAACAGTCATAGTTAGGCATCTCTAGTGATACAAACCCTCAAGAGGAATGTAGAAGATGAATATGGATGAATGCAGCTTCAAAAAAATGCAAGAAGCCTGACACCATTCAGAACAAAGCAGCACTTCATTGGCACCACATTGCAAACAGTCAGTTCCTCCACAACCGACACTCAGTAGCAGCATTGTGCACCAGCAAGATGTACTGCAAAAAAATCACCAAAGCTCCTTAGACAGCACCTTCCAAATCAAGAACCACTTCCATCTAGAAGGACAAGGGCAGCAGATCGAATGGAGTGCCATGGTTTGCAATTTTCCTGCCAGGCCACTTACCACCCAGAGGTGGAAATATATTACCATTCCTCCAGTGTTACTGATTCAAAATTCTCATACTCCCTCCTTAATGGCATTGTGGTTGTGCCTACACCAAATGGATGGTAACAGTTCAAGAAGGCAGTTCACCACTGCCTCCTCAAATGTACCGCAGGATGGGCAACGAATACTGGCAATGACACCCATATTCCATGTGTGAGTAAAAAAGAGGAACAGCAAAACAGAAGTCAGAAGACCATACTTATATGCTTACTGAAGCATTCTATGATGAAAAACAACGTTGGCTTTCATTTTTTTTGGCCTTAACATTATGTAAGACAATGGTTTGCTTTATTATTCATAGATAATGTAGCCATAAGTAAGGAATGAACATTCTGAGAGGACGTATGTGCTCATTCTGCACAAAATTCGGTTGTGTAAGTGTACGTTTGCAATATTTTGGATGCTGTTTTGAGTCCAATTTAGAATCTGCAACATATGCATGTTGTGAAATTTAGCCACTACACTAATGGCCTTCAAGGCAGGAAAACTGCTATATTTGCATGAGATATTGCGGTTGTGTTTTAACTGACCACTGAAATGGCAAAGAAAAGCACTCAATCAGAAACACTATTCTGTGGGTTCTGGTATCTGAAATAAAGTCAGTGAATACAGGAGAAACTCAGCAGGAAAGGCAACATATGTATAGAAAGAGAAGTAGAGTTAACATTTTGAGTCCAAAGATTCTTCTCCCAAAATCTGAAGAGGCAATCTTGGGTCCATGGTGAGTCGAGCAACATTGCATATGAACAATATGGTGCTCACTACCTGCTCAAGGGAGAAGAGGGCATTAACATCATTTATGATGAATCCTTGAAATGAGAACTGCTCAACTCCCTGCAGCAGTTCTATGTGGCAGAACTGAGGAAGAGTCTCTGGATCCAAAACGTTAACTCTGAGTTTTTTCTTCACAGATGCTGCCAGACCTGCTGAGCTTTACCCGCAATTTCTGTTTTTGTTCCTTGGCATGACTGCAGACTTTGTCATAAGCTCATTGTTGTACTTAGCATTTCATTGTTCATACCCTTCTGTTTTTTTTCTGACTGCCCCGTTGAAGTTCTTGTATGAGTCCTCTGAAACAGAACTCAAGAGCAAAATCACTCTTCAACAAATCTGGAACCCACATGATCCTTTTCGTTAAGTTGACTAGAGGATTTCATTGTCTGGTGTTTCACCATATGAAAATGTCACGTTCAAAGAGTGGACGGTATCACTATCTGAGCTGATGAATAAAAGTGTGAGTGAAGAACATTGTTTTTTGATCATCAGGCTCTTTTGGTCCTTTTGCATATCTTGATCCTTCGATAATACATGGTCAGGTTATAGTTTTTGACTATTTGATAGGAAAAAGGAACAAATGTAAGGTTGTGGTGAAGGGAAGCCGAAAAAGCAAAAAAGTATGTGCAAACATGCTCAATCTATCACTTGGGAATTAGAAGTGCAAGTCAGTTGAGCAGTCCTTCCAGTACTGCAGCTGACAAGGGTCTCAGTCATGGGCATTCCAATTATGGTGCATGTTGTCTCCTCCATCAAGGTGAGGATGTATGGCCATGGGTATCCCTGTTGACAAGCTGAAATACTGTTAACCAGTGTGCAAGCTGAGAGACATGGGTGATGTGACATCACTGCAGTGCTAAATACGTGAAGGTATGGCAAACTATGAAAAATATGAGATTTAGATGGTAGGTTGGTAGGTGAGACAAAAAATGGTGGTATCTTGAGTAGTGGTTCAATTGTAAAGATATGGCATTTGAAGATAATTTCACAGACTTTGAGCACATTTTATGACATTGAGCTTCTCGCCGGACTGCATCTGGGTCCTTAGGTTACATTACTGCTATTGAATGCGGTGGTTGTCTGCTCTCGGTGTCCTCAGTATTGATCGGGAGAGCCTTTCTTCTGCGAATAGAGTTCCACTCTGCTCTTGCCCAGCTCTTGAACCAAGAGCTACAATATTGCATTAGACAATTCCTCAGTACACCATCAGACCTTTTACACGATCCTTCAGTGTTCTTTCTGTCCAGGCATATCCCTAGCCAAATCCAGCATGTGATCCAATGAAAATGCATGTTTCAGTTAAGAGGTTCAAACTGGCTTAAGTTATGCTAACTACATGTGACCATAGCCTTTCACAAATGTCCACTTGCATGTCAGGCATGCAGCCAGTCACAAGTGCATCGAGAGGCTGTATGCCACAACAATGGTAATCAGAACGTAACTTGAACTTTAGGTGGAGCTTGTATCAGAAGTAATAAACTGCATATCACGATCCCTATGCCCATTTTCAGGTATTTGATATTTTCTAATCAACTTGTTTGGAGATGTTATTACATACCACTGGAGCAGGTGAAAATTGAACCTGGGTCTCATGACTCAGAGATAGGCACACTACCACTGCAACACAAGCACCTATCTCCATTTTTATTAGAATTTTGCTGTTATTACACCAGATGATTGACACTGCATGTAGTATAGAGGCAATTTATTTCAACACTTAAATAAGATTGATTTTGATAGCGTGATGTTTTATAATGTCAAAGATACCGGACTTTTCATGCGAAAATTTGCCACCATTAAATAACATGTAATAAGAAATTAAATTTCCAATATGTTGAACATTACTCACCCTTATAACTGGCTCTTGAAGCCAGAGACGTATGAGTGTAGCCAAAGTGTAGTACAGTAATAACAGCATGATAGGATTGACATGTTGGGGCCAAGACATATTGGGATTGGCTATGATCTTCCAGGTAGTCGTGCAATTTGTTTGAATAACTGGTGATACACCAAACAACCTTTTATAACAATGAGAGATAATAAACTTATCACCAAGATTCACATTGTAATAACATTGACTTTACAAATTAAACATTTACTTTTTTAGTAACAATATTAGGTAAAGGAATGAAACAAGAATACTTAGAATTTAAAAAAAGAAAGATAAACTTGAAGTTGGTTGGCTTGCCGAGCTGGTTTCTTGTTTCGCAGACGTTTTGTTACCATGCTTGGTAACATCCTGAGTGCAGCCTCCGATGAAGCGTCGGTGTGTTCTCCCACCCATCAACAACCCACAAGCCCGAAACGGCGAGCCAACCAACTTCAACACCCTCAACACCCACAACCCGAGCTACAAATCTACTCCAAAACCTTAGAGAAAGATAAACTGGATAGGATGTAAACATGTGATAAATCTGATGTTTCCCATTTTAAATCATTGTTACAAGTTAAAGTAAACTCCAAGCTGAAACTAATCAGTTTTCTAGTTAAGAGGCCTTGTTGTTAAACCAACATTTAATGTAGTAACATCTTAAAAATATGTTTCTTGCCGTCATGCTACAAGACAAAATTAATGAGCAATGGCTGAAGTAATTCTTTAACCTCAGTAAACATAAATTAGTAGACAGCAAATTTGAAATCACTTTATATTTGTACTTCCATATATATTAAGTTTCATCCATACAAATCCAAAACAGAACTAACTTATTTTGCAAAGAGGTTTAGAGAAAAAAAAGTTAATAAATTGTCCCATAATCATGAGCAAGGCAATGCACTGCTTGCGAATCTTTGGAAATCTTAATTGACCAACATGAGCAAATATGCACTTATTGTTGGGAATTTACAGAGCCTGATGGGAAGACGAAGATGGAACTCAAAGTGGACACGAATGGTCTTCAGACTTCAACTCCTGTTTCCTCAGTGGTCTCACAATAGCTAGTCAATTAATGGTTCATGAACAGTATGATCAGCCACTGTGCACTTGGTATGAGTAGAGGTAGCAATTGCATGTCAACTGTTGGCTGACACCATGTTTAAAGAACCTTGATTCAGTTGCAGCATTCAGCCCTGCCAAAAGCCTGTGAGCAGTCAAGCCTGAAAGCTGTCCATAGGCTGGCGTCACTTGATCAGCTTACAAGCAATCATTCTTTCAACAGCCTGTGAGAAATTATTGCTCCATCACCCTCAAAAAAAAGTCTTGATGACAGCTACATTTGTTGGGTGGCTTCACTATTCTGTCACAACTCCCTGGATATTCTCCACCAAAATTGTCAAACAATGCAGGAGTTTTATTTTGTCCTTCTGTCCTACACCTCCTGTCAAACTGAGTGGGCAGAATGAAGGTCATAGATGAAGTCAGCAGTCATGGAGCAGTCTGGAGAACCTAGTTTCAGTGCCATGAGAACAGCAACAGCATTCTCTATGGTACACGGTTGAGAATTAAACTCTGGATGCTTTAATTGTCAGCAACTGGATAATTGTTAGCGTGCAGATTCCTTAAGTGAGACTCTACTTTAATGCCAGGAGTATTAGAGGTAAGACAGATGAGTTAAGGGTGTGGATTTAAACATGAAACTGCAATGTTTCCATTACAAAGATATGATTGGGGAAAGGACAAGACTGGCAACTTAAGATTCTGGGATATAGGATCTTCATGCAGGGCAGGGGAGGGCCCAAAAGTGGGCGTGGTGTTGCATTATTAGTTAGGGAGTCAATTATTAAGGTGAGGAAGGATGATATCTTGGAAGGATTGTGAAATGAGGCTTTGTGGGTAGAACTTAGGATTTAAAAAGGGTGCAGTCACATTGTTAGAAGTGTATTACAGGCCCCCAAATAGTCAGTGGGCAATTCAGCAATAGATATGCAGTCAGTCACTAGGGCGTGTAAAAATAATAATGGGTTATTATATGAGGGGATTTCAACTACAATATTAATTGGGATAATCATAGCATAAAAGGTTTAGAGGGGGCAGATTTCTTGAAATGTATAAAGAAGAATTTTTTATGTCAACATGTAGACGGTCCTACAATGGATGGTGCAGTGCTGGACCTAATTCTGGGCAATGCAGCTGGACAGGTGTTCAAGGTGAAAGTGAAGGAACATTTTAGTGATAGTGACCGTAACACCATATGTTTTAGGTTTGTCATGGAAAAGGAGAAAGATCATTTGCAAGAAAAGGGTTTTGGTCTTGGGTAAGGTAGATTTTATTAAAATAAGGCAAGATCTGGCACAACAGACTGGGAAGAACAACTTGAGGGCCAATCTACAGCAAAACAATGAGAGTTCAAAGATATACCATAGTACAGGTCCAATATGGTTCCTTTACAGTGAAAGGAGATAATAAGGACTCAGATGCTGGAAGTCACAGTCGCTAGAATATGGAGCTGGAGAAGCTCAGCAGGTCGGACAGCATCAGAGGAGCAAGAAAGTCGATGTTTTGGGTCAGGTCCCTTCATCAGGGCTGGGGAGGGGGAAGGGAGCTCAGAAATAGAGGGAGGGGTGGGTGGGGAAAAGGTAGGTGGGATGGTGATAGGTGGATGCAGTTAAGGGGTTTTGGAGATTGTTTAGTGGGAAGGGTGGAGTGGATGGGTGAGAAGGAAGATGGACAGGTTGTGTCAGGTCAAGGAGACGGGCAGGAGAGGGAGGGCTGGACATGGGATGAGGCTGTCTGTAGGGAGATTTTGAAGCTGGCGAACCCTATGTTGAGACCATTGGGCTGTAAGCTCCCGAGGTGGAATATAAGGTGTTGTTCCTCCAGCTTACATGTGGCCTCATTTTGACAGTGGAGGAGAGCCAGGATGGACATGCTGCCAAGGGAGTGGGAGGGGGAGTTGAAATGGCTGGCAACAGAAAGGTGGTGTTGATTTCCAGTACAGAGAGCAGATGCTGTTCGAATTGGTCATTGAGTCTGCTTGGTCTCTCCGATATAGAGGAGACCACATTGGGAGCAATGGATGCAACAGACCAGGTTAGAAGACATACTGGATTTGGAATGATTATTTGGGACCTTGGATGAGAGGTGAGACAGGAGGTGTAGGAGCAGGTGTAGCAGTTGCAGGGAAAGGTGCCGGGTGTGGTAGCAAGGTTGGTGGGGAGTGTAGAGCTGACGAGGGAGTCATGGAGAGAGCAGTCCCTATGAAAAGCAGATAGGGGTAGGAAAGCAAACATCTTTTCGGTTGTGGGGTCTGATTGCAGGTGGTGAAAACGGCAGAGGTTGATGTATTGGATTTGGAGATTGGTGGGGTGGTATGTGAGGACCTGGGGACTCTATCCTTATTGTTGTTGGGAGGGGATTAGGGCAAAAATGTGGGACATGCAGGAGATGCAGTTGAGGGCATTATGAATCACGGGACAGGGGAAATTACGGTCCTTGAAGTAAGCGGACACCTGGGATGTCCAGGAGTGGAACGTTTCATCCTGGAAGCAGAGGTGAAGGAATTAAGAATATGGGATCGCATTTTTTCCGGAGGGTGGGTGAGAGGAGGTGAAGCCAAGGTAGTTGTGGCAGTCAGTGGATTTGAAATGGATGTTGGTGCTAAGTCGTTTGCCAGAGATGGAGACAGAAAGCTCCAGGAAGGGGAGGGAGGTGTCAGAGATGGACCAGGTGAATTTGAGGTCAGGGTGAAAAGTGTTTGTGAAGTGGATGAACTGTTTGAGCTCCTCGTGGGAGCATAAGGCAGCACCGATGCAGTCATCAATGTGGCAGAGGAAGAGGTGAGGGATGGTGCCAGTGTAGCTGTGGAAGAGGGACTGTTCCATTTGTACTATTAAGAGGCAGGCACAGCTTGGGCTCATGCGGGTGGCCGTAGCCATCCCTTTGGTTTGTAGGAAGTGGGAGGAGTCAAAGGAAAAATTGTTGAGTGTGGGGACTAAATCTGCTAAACGAATGAGTGTTGGTGGAGGGGGACTGGTTGTGCCTGTGGGAGAGGAAGAAATGGAGGGCTTTTAGGCCCTCCCCTTGGGGGATACAGGTGTAGACAGACTGAATGTCTATGGCGAAGATGAGGTTTTGGGGACCAGGGAATTGAAAGTCTTGGAGAATGTGGAGGCATGGGTTGTGTCTCGAATGCAGGTGCGGAACTCCTGGGCCAGAGGGGAAAGTACGGAGTAGAGGTAGGAGGAAGCAGAGACTGGGGCAGTCAGGTTTAAGGATTATTAAATGCAGGAGCAATAAACTCAAAGAACCCTAAAACTGCAGAAATATTCAGGACTTGATTAAAAAGAAAACGGTACAAAAGGAGCAAAACAATGGAGGCCCTTGAGGAGCATAGGAAGTGCAGTATCTTAAGAAAGCAAATCAGAAACAAAGAATGAGCATGGGAAAACTCTGGCAGCAAAACTGGAGAGAATCCTGCCATATTTTACATGGGGAAAAGAATAACCAGGGAAAGAGTAGGGCCTCTTCGGGACCAAATGGGGCAATCTGTGCGTGAAGCTGGAGGACATTGATAGTTAAAAAATTACTTTATCTTTGTCTTTACTGGGGAGAAGGAGGATGCAAATACAGAATTTCAGAAGATGGAATGTGAAGCAATTGAGCAGATTGTTATAACAGGCGAGGAGGTATTAGATGTTTTGGTGAACTTAAACATGGCAAATACCCAGGTCTGGATGAATTGTATCTCAGGCTGTTATGGGAGACAAGGGAGGAAGTTACAAGGGCCTTAACCCAAATTTTTAAATAATCTCTGGCCACAGGGAATTGCCAGAGGATGAAGGATGGCTAATATGGTTCCACTTTGCAAGAAGATGGTAAAGATAGACCAGGGAACTATAGACTAATGAGTCTCACATCAGTGGTAGGAAAACAATTGGAGAAGATTGTGAAGGAGAAAATTAACCTCCATTTAGACAGGCAAGGTTTGATCAGGGTTAGTCAGAGGGAAGACATACCAAACAAATCAAGTAGAATTGTTCAAGGAGATGACCAAATGTTTGGACGAGGGTATGGCAGTTGATGTATTTTATACGGATTTCAGAAAGGCCTCTGACAAGGTCCCACATGGGAAACTGATAAAGA